CGCAACTTTGATTTTTTTTTTACTTGATGTCGAATTCGTTGAGCTTTATTGCCCACTTGACTAGCTTTCCTGACAATTCTGATTTGTGCAAGACCTACTTTCAATGAGGTCAATTGTCTGGGCCTGGAATAAGGCATGAGTTTCTTTGCAGCTATTATCAGAGCTAAGACTAGCTTTTTCATCTTCGAATATCTCTCATCTGCCCTCCTTAGAGCTCTACTACAGTAGTAGACTAGTTGTGAGCTCTATCTTGCTCTCTGACCAATGTTGTGCTTGTTGAAAAATCTTAGACAACAAGGTATAGGATGAACACCTCTCCCTCACTAAGTCTCACACTGATTGGGGGCGAACTGAGGTAATCCTTGAGGGCTTTGAATGTCTCCTCGTACTGTGCATCTCACTGGAACATTTTTTTTCAAGCCTTGGAAAAAGGGTTGACACTTGTCGCTCAACTTAGAGACAAAGCGACTTAAGGCTGCTATCCTCCCCGTTAGACGTTAAACCTCTCTTGTGTTTGAAGGTGGTTACATGTCTATTACAACTCTGACCTTCTCTAGGTTAGCCTCTATTCCTTGGCTATTGATTATAAAATCCAAGAATTATTTAGCAGAGACTCCAAAGTCACATTTGGCTGCATTGAGATTCATCTAGTACTTCATAAAGATTTGGAAAGATTCTTCGAGGTGTTTGATATGGAGCTCAGCTTTCAATGACGTCACCAACATGTCATCGATGTACATCTCCATTGATGTCCCGATATGTTTCTGAAACATTCGATTCACTAAATGATGGTAGGTGGCTCCAACGTTCTTCAGCCTAAATGACATAGCTTGGTAGTAATATGTCCATTGATCAGTTACGAAGGACGTCTTTTCTTGATCGCTAGGATCCATCCTGATTTGGTTGTGTCCTGAAAAAGCATCCATGAAACTGAGCAGTTCATGCTCCATTATGGCATCTACGATTAAGTCAATTCGAAGTAAGGGGAAGCTGTGCTTTAGACAGGCACGATTTAGATTAGTGAAGTTGATGCAAAGGCGCCACTTGTTGTTGATCTTCTTTATAAGGACCACATTGGCCAGTTAGGTCGGATAATCTATCTCCCTGATGGCCTTGGCATGGAGGAGCTTTAAGGCCTCCCCGTTTATTGTTTTCTAACATTCTAGGGCAAAATTTCTCCGTTTTTACTTAATGGGCTTGAAGGTTGGATCCACACTGATTTTGTGCGTGATGACTGAGGGATCAATCCCCTACATATCCTCTTACTTCCAGGCGAATACCTCCATATTATTTTTAAGAAATTGAATAAGGAGGTCTTTAACCTCTTTGAGTAGCTTTGATCCTACGTTCACTAAATGCTTTGGTTATTTATCGAGTTGGATAAACTCTAGCTCTTTTAAAGGCATGGGTCTTGTCTCCAGTTCGTCCCTCATATCGAACTTATCCAGTTATATGGTTTCGACCTCTTTCTTCTTCATAAATGTCATGTAGCATTCTTGTGTCACTTGTTAGTCTCCTCGGACCACTCCAATGCCATTCTCATTAGCAAAGATGATGTTGATAGAGTTTCCATTGTTAATGAGAACTTGATGAACACTCCTATTGGCAATGATGACTCTTACCATCAGGGGGTCGTCGTGGGGATATTGGTAGCTTTCTAGATTTGTATCTAAGAACATTATGTCCATTCTTAGCCGATAAGTCTTCAGTCTGGACTTTTCGCGTATGTGCCTTCTTGGTAGACCTGGTTTTCCCCCAAGTAAATCTTCCTGATATTACTCTGATCTCTCCCATCGGCTGCTAATGTGATGGAAGAGCTGACTATTGCGGTGCAGGAGGAGGGTGAGCTTGGTTTTGATTATCTTGTGCTGCAAAGCTACGTAACTGCCACCCATTTTGAGGGGTCAGGCTTCATCCGAGGTGGTCACCTCAGAACCTTTTCATTTTGTACTTCGTAGAGGACATGGGATACTATAGCATTGAGGGGAGTGAATTGCCATGGTGCGTATCTTGGTTGTAGCACTTGAGGGGGAGGTTCTAGGCGATCTCTTATATTTCCTTTCCTCTTTGGTGAGTGTTCTTTGTCTGCTCATGGAGAGCGTTCTCGACTTCTCTCCATCCTTGGATTTTGCTCATTCCTCTTTTCCTTCTCCTTGTGGGTAGTTGAGCTCTTAGCCTTGGAAAAGAGAGCTTCCTCTTCATTAATATATTTGTCCGCCTTGGCAAGGATCTTAGTCATACTGGCTTGTGGGTTCTTGGTAATGAAAAACATCAAGTCCTTTAACTGGACTCCCAATCCCACAATAAAGGCAATGAGGGCAAATTTCTCACCAAGGACATCTACTTTTAGAGATTTTGAATTGAACCTCTGAACATAGCTTCTTAGTGTCTCATTGGGTACCTTCTTTACATTCAACAAGTGATAGCTCAGCTTTCGATAGATCCGAGCTCCTATGACGTGGAAAACGAATGAAATAGAGAGCTCCCTGAAGGAAGAGATGGATGTTGGGGTCAGCCTATTGAACCAAGCTAAAGCTGAGCCCTTCAATGTGATGGCGAACGCTCAACAACGTATGAGATCTTGATATTCATATAGCACCATCTAATTTTTATAGGTGTTGAGATGGTCCATGGGGTCCTTCGTTCCTTCAAAGGTTATCTGAGGCATCCTGAACTTAAGTTGGATGGGAAAATGCAACACCTCTACAGTAAAGGGAGATTCTGTTTGTTGGACTAGGGCGTCCATAGTTACTAGGGTTTTGCCCCTTATTGCCTCCTTCATGTGGCTGAACTCTTGTTGAATTTCCTTGAAGTGTTATTCCCAGTATTGTTCCTCTCTCTCCTGTTGATGTGGAGAAAATTCATTCTTGTGAGTTCCTCTTTTTTTGACCCTAAACTTTCTCGTTGTCGTTGTTCCTCTGAGCTCGACAATAAGCATTGCCCACTGTCTGGCTACACTCGTCCCTCTCAGTGATGTCTCTTAGGGGGTTGAGGTGTTATTATTTTCCTTGTAGGGGACAGTCCTGGGCTGGTTGTGCCCTTTGGAGATGTTAGAGGAGGCTTGGTAACTCTTTATTTTGTTGAAGAAGACACTGATTGGCTAGGCGAAGGGCCTAAAGTTTGTTATTCAGAGGGGGATTCACCAGGGGTGGTTCAACCTCTGGAATAGGCAAGAAATTACGAGGATTTTCCTGTTGTCTTCTAGTGGCAACTTCTTGTTGGTTCTGTAATCGAAGGGGATTCATCTGACTTTTGCTCATATTGCACGTAGAAATCATCAATTACTGAAGGAGTTTAGTAGAACTTTAACAGGAATAGTCGTTCACACAGACAACACCAACTGATGATGTTTATAGCACGACAAAGCAAATATAGGGATTTAATGGGAATTGAGTTATTCAGTCTAAGCTCATAGGCTCTTAAGATTTGGGGTCAGGGAATATGAGTTAACACGCGAAGAGTTTATAGTGGTTCACCAGCTCGAGAACTCGACTAATCCACTCTTAAAAGAGTCTCTTGCTCATGGGACTTATATTAATAAAAAGGGATTACAAAATAGTTGTTCAGGATACAATGGCTTGTGTGTATTACTGGGGGTTATGCCCCTTACTTATAGTTGGCCCTGAGCTTCGCTTGATCCTTGGGGTGATCCTTGTAATGGTTGCTACTATCCCACAATGGTTGTGCAGAGTATTTGGGCAGTTGCGATTCTTATGCCTGGATAAACAACCGTTGCTATCGAGTTGGTGCTTGGCGGAAGCTAGCTGTCTTTTATGTTGCCCTCCTTGAGAGGCAGATGCAGGAAGCTCGAGGTCTAAATTCGAGCTCCATGGGCAACTAAAACGAACTAGGCTCCTGATCTAAGAGAGCACGACTCGAATTACCGAACTCAACTTTAAGCATATTCAAGTTACCATCACCAGTTAAACAACCACAAGTGTTAAATGTTTTTATTATTGAAAATTGTGTTTGATGTGTACTCATGAAATGTTGATATTAGTCTTCATTTATATATTTGTCTGCATTCATAAAATATAAATATTACTATGCATTTTTTTTCCAACCCACGACTCCTATTTATTTTTAACTCCACTCGACGACTTAATTCTTTTTTGATATTTTATCACTCATATGTCATCTCTTTCTCTGTTGTTTAGTCTTTTAGACCCATATTCACACAGATAATCGGGCACGGGCCCTTCTAGGACTCGTGAAATGTCTACTTTATTTTTCATTTCTTCTTGAATAATGAGAATAATTTCCTCTTTAATAAAACTTTATCGTCTGCACTCATGAAATATTACTATTACCCCTCCTTTCTTTCCAAACTAACAGTCTTAACTCTCCTTTTGGTGCCACTCAACTGTCTAGTAACCGTCCAATTACCTTAGAGACTCGAATTAAAACGGTAGTTGAAATTAAAGATTCGCACTTGACTACAAAAATAAATATGAGATTCAGCCATTTGATGTAGAGAATTTTAAACAGAACTCGACGTAGGGTTACTGTGGATCAATGGTAGCTACACAAACATGATTTGGCCACGTGTGCGCACTTGGTCGGCTCTCCACCACCACCCAACCTTTTTAACCCTTTATCCAAGGTCGACCCACGTGTCCCGCTATTCGAGGAGTGTTGTCGATTCATCTGTCAATACATCGGTTTCCACGTGGGGCCAATGGAAACTTTTTTGGATCAAATACTCTACCTTTTTTTTCTAGTGTAGTGGCCCAACCTCATTCCCTCCCGATAACGTCCGTTAGCTGTTTCCCTCCCGATAACATGTGAACAGATCCGCCAAGACATTGATTGCCGTTAATAGCGCCCAACACCGGCCATCGATGATATGCTTTACGGAGAGTCTCATCTCGCAAACACCGGCCACCGGCGATTTGGTTTACGGTGAGTCGCTTCTTAGCAACAAGTTAGTCTGATAAAGATGAAAAGGAAAAAGATTAGGGTTTGCAAAAGAAAAAAAAAAAAAGGGTACGCTGTGGGAAATTGTATGACGTTGCGGCTACTGCTGCCGCTAAACACGTTCGACAATTAGGTGAATATAATGTTCACTTGTGGATGAATGATTAGGGTTTAGTTACCTTTGTTTTGCATGCGTGTAGACTGATGTACAAGTGGCAAAAGAAGTAAGTGCAAGCGGACGGTGTCATGTTTGACTTGTGGATGGTTAGCGACTTTGCATGCATGGTTCAATGACCGTGGAATCTGTATTGTGAGGTTCAGGCTACTGTCAGAGTCACCACTGGACGCTACCATGGCAATAACAACAGGCTCTCAGGTACTCTCCATAGTGTGAAATCCTCGAACCATGAACTAATTCTACTTTTTCTTTTAAATTGTTGACGTAATAAAATTGTTGCCAATTGAGTACGTAATAGTCCACCTCAATGTTGATATCGATCCATTCTTATCCAAGGGCAGTAATGAATTACATTCACTACGTAGGTCAATAAATACTATTATTTTTATCAGCAAGATATAATTTGAGAATATAATACATTGTAACTAATGGATTGATCGCAGAATACATTTAATGTCATTATTAAATATATTTCACTATCATATATTGGTCACAATTTCTTTTATCCCTAAATTATGTTCTTCAATTATATTCCAATAGTATTAGTGTATTTTTTTTATGAGTAATGCTAGATGGACTTAAAAAGTAAACTTGATAATCAGAACCATTGAATAGATAAGGAGTCATAATAAATATTGATACCCACAGTAAAATCAATAGTTGTAATTATCAAGTCTAGTTTTTATGTTTTAAGTTTAATTTTTAAATTCATGAAACATTACTCTTTTTTTATTTATTAATATATGGAAATTAACCGCAGTTATAGAGAAGGAATGTTAAAGTGAGAGAGAGAGAGAGAGAGAGAAAACGAAGAACTTTAGGATAATTCTTGAATTTTATGAAAACTTATTAAGAGGATTACTACATTCCTTTTGGGGGTTTTGACTGTCATCTCAAAATCTGAATCTTTGATCGATGAGGTACGTTACTTTTTAGTTGTGCGAGAACTCTTTCTTTCATTCACTCCTTTTTCTTTTTTTTTTTGGATGGATCCGTTATTCTTCCCCTTTCCCTTTCGCCCTTTCCCCTGCCACCACCCCCTTGTACTGGCAGAACTTCACCCTGTTGTGATGGAATTCTGTAAATTCTTTGACCTAAATTAAATGAACTTTTTATCGAAACATTTGATATATACTTGAGAGGTGGAAGGAGGCAGAGACGAACAAAAAGTCTTAAGATGAAAAAAATATCTCAAAAAATGCTACATTGGCCTATCATGGCACTAAAAATAAGAATAAAATTCTATTGCGCTAATACGGCGGTGAGTCTAGCATTCCTTACTCTCATATTGCTTCTTGCACCTTGGTTGAATTGAACTGGAAATCTTTGATTAAGACACCTGAATTATTTATAGCAAATAATCCCCACTCTCGACTAATCGCGAGGGAAATCAATGATTACTCAACTGTGGGAAGCCTAATTAATTCATTCCATCTCTATTCAATATAGATTGCACATCAGACGTGTCCGATCTGTGGACCCTACAGTTTAGTTTCTTGAACACTGTGTATTGCTAAATAAATGCCTAGGTGTCCTCTTTCCTACGTCATTGCTGGACACTCTCTAATCTCTAAATGGCTAGTTTGCTGGAAAATCTATTGAGTGGGTCCCGCACTCAGATATCTGAATTATTTAAGCATCGGTGACCTAACCTGTCACCAATATGTGTACACAGCTGCCACGCTATAGCACTTACCGTCCCTCTATATATGTCCACGTCCATGGTGTTATTTACCTACACTTAGAGAGAGAAGCTGGACTCCTGCTGGAGGAGGAAGGATGGGTGGTAGGGGAGGAGGGTGCTGCCGAAGGAGATCCTCCGATGGTGCGTACAATAAGTCGCTAATCAATCGTGTACTGCTCCAATTCCGGCCGATTGCACCCAAGCCTGCCGGAAACAATTCTGTCACCGGTGGGAAAACGCCGGAGAGACAAAACATAGTGGTCAACGACAGAAGGGTCAAGAGAAGGTACACTATGGCACGAAAAAAGAGACAATATAACAGAAAAAAATCATCACCTGCAGAAGAATTGGAATGCGAAGATGGGTCGCAGAAAAGTGTTGTGACTCTGCAACTGTTTCCGAACAGATCAAACGATAAGGGATTGTTGGAAAGACGATCATCAGAGTGCACTATTGATCGCAAACCGCCTAATTTGATGGAATCCAGTGATCTTCTTGTTCTGGATAAAGAAAAAACCGCTTCTTTTAGCTTTTATGTGACGCCGGTGGTGCAGAGGAAGAAGGTGGCGGTTGAAACGTTGGTGATGATGGAATGCATAACAGAAACAATTTCCATAAATGGAGTAGGGTTAGAGTTAGGGTTAATTTCAGACATGGATAGAGTGAAGAAGTTAGAGGTTGACAAGAATCCAGGTTTTGTATCGGACGTTTGGAACAGAGTGCAGTGGGTGAATGAGGCGTACAAGATGATGGTGAGCCAAGAAGAAAATGAAGTGAGTAGTCCACAGACTCCACAGGAATTGAAGGTGTGGTTGGTGATGAAACAAGATCAGCATCACCTGCCCTATTATTTGTACCCTGCTGCGTTCTCATGCAGGGTAAAACTACGGTACACGTGGCATGACCAGAGACGTTCAAGCACAGTGCCATGCGACGTGTGGAGGATGGACTTTGGAGGATTTGCATGGAAACTCGACCTTCAGGCTGCTCTCAGTTTGGGTCTTTCCACAGAAATCAAACTTTGAAGATTGAAGATAGTGAGTAATACTCGCAGTCCAGAGGTAATAATTTCACTCACCAATTTATAGTGATTTAATTTTTCAATAATAGATGAAGTTTACTATCACTTTATTAATTATAATTAATTAGATTCTCAAATTGGATATAAATAACAATTTTCTAATTCTTGACTTTGAAAATATTATTTGCCTTGGAGAAAATATTCAATGTAACAATACCAACAAATTATAATTGTCTCGTGGTGTCATCAATTAATATTTGAATAAACATGTAGAACTAATGAATCCCGCCAAATTCTATAATCATCAATAATTTTCATATTCAACATTTACAATGTAAGATTCGTAGATTCACTTGTCTTACTTGTGTATTTAAAATTAGCCGATAACATTATTTGGAGTTGATCAGGTGTTATAACCATTACATGGAAGCATGTTTGGTTCCGGTACACATAGTATGGAATGAAATTGAATAACTAATTCTATTCCAATCTATACATAGTTGTGGTAATTACTATTTTATTCTATCCCTATTATATCATTTTGGTTAGAGATTAGTATAAGGGGTGGGTCAATTAGTATAATATCAATATCATATTTGGATGAGGAATTAATGCAAGATATTAAATTCAAAAAACAAAAACACCCCTACATCAATACATAACTCTTTAGACTATAGATATTGTTGTCCTTTTGGATATTAAAACCAATCATCACTCATTTTATACTATTTATAGTGTTAGGTGACATTTAGAATGGGGTTGGTACTAAAATACCTTTAATACTAGATCTTATAATTTGATTCAAACTTAGTATTAAATAATGATTAGAGTAATTTAGTCCAATCTCATTCTTTAGTATCTCAAACAAACATGACTTGAATAAAATGACCTGATTACAGTAATTTTTGAAACTCGTTTAGTATTTTAATGTGATGATTATTTTAAATTTTGGTTCAAAAATTCGCTTAATCTACCCGTCACATTAACACCATATTATTCGGTTTCTTTTTCTTCTATTTTATTTTTTGATTAGTGTAACATTACCCATAATGTAGTGGCCATATATATTAGAGCACATGGCTCGACCCATGGCTGCCGCATGTGCAAAATAAATTACACAATCTCCTCTGGCCAATTGAGATCATTTGACCACTGCTTCCTTGATTTGATCGTTGCTTCCTTGATTGTCTCATCAAGGATTTCCTTTCCTTTTATTCTTTTTATTTACAAAATTGTTTCTTCATTAGTATTTTGATCTCTTTAAGTATTGAGTTAATCAAGTCAAAGTTATTCTTGACTCCTCACATTACGAGTACATGTTTACAAGAAGCGATCGTTAAATTCTGGAGGGTAATCGTCATTATCCTACGGCACTGAGCTTCATATTCCTAGTGGTGAAATCTATCCTTAAGTGTAGTGATTACTCACACCTCGACTAATAAATTTCTTTAATCTCTCTTTATTTTTGTATTTAGCATTTGTATCCATTACTTTTTTACAACAGGTAAGTGGCCAGAAATTGGAGGAGTGATAAGGTGTTGATTTTTAAATTGCTATTCTGCCGACTAGTTCTTGATTTGAGAGATCTTTGCATGCAACGTCGAAGTTGTCCCATTGGCACTAAAGGATAGAACGCATGCAATGAAGCCGTGAACCAGTACGGCCAAAAATAATTTTATGGTAGTTGGATTGTGGGCATAGAAATTATTTTTCTACAAACCAAGAATCTAAACTCTTAATTCCAATCTTCGTGTGCTTTCGTAGGGTTGTGTCGTATTTGCTTTGTAGTAGTGGTGGTGGAGGATGGTAGAGGATTGGGACGTAAGATTGATTAGGATCAAAATAGTAGAAGCACTGAAACTATTAATTATTCACTATAAGTACTTAAATCCGTATACTTTCTTCATTTAGTATCCTCTCGCCCCATGTCTCGCCATTGTTGTTCGATTGAGAGTTTGGAAGATCAAAGAAAAAATTGTGTGGTATTCTAGCAGTATATTGCTTCTTTTTGTTTATCCATTATCGAGATCTTGTAATCGGAATTATATTGCAGGACAAAGAGATCAATCCCGTCAACAGCCATCATCGTCAAGAGACGTATCTCCAGTAAGCTGAAAATAGACTATTGACCTACCAAGAAATTTCATAACTAGAATGGCTTATACCTTTGAAGTTGTTACTCAATTGAAGGGTTGAACATGTACATAAAGCATTAAGGTGCTTGAACTATTGAGCAGTCAGACCAACATATGAATGTGTTGGAGAGACTGTAAAAGATTGTAATGACCTAATGACAACAAATATGGGTAAGCTATTCATTTTCTTTCCTCCTAACCAAAAACGAACAACGATCCGGCCAGTCTATTAGCTCCGTTTGATCAGAGCATAGCTTCTCAGACTGGACTTTTTTGGTCCCATTCTGTAGATTTTATTAAGGTTTCAATCGACATTTGATGATTCTAGACTTGGGAAAGAAGTGTGATTAGTGGTTTGCTATCCTTGTGTTCATAGAAGGGCTTATAAGGCATTCTAAAGGGATATAAACCTACAAGAGAAAACTGATTCTCCTCAAATAGAATTGAGATCTTGGAGTCTAATAAGAGCTACAGGAGTAGAGAATGATACTAACATCACTAGTAGAAGTGTCTGGGTTGTAAGAATAAAATAAAGAATCTGTTACTTCAGATGTTGTCTGGACTCTTTTTGACAGCCCACTTCATGTTGGGCACGGGCCCAGACGCTCTAGGCTTCCGTTTAAAGAGGCTTGATCCATCAATCAGCAAGTGAAAGGTCCATTTATCAATAAAAAAGAATATATGTATATTTTGAATATATTTTATCCAACATTATCCTCTAGCTGCAAGAGCCCTGATCATTTATTTCAAATTTTCAAGAGCTAAAAGAGTTATCTGACCAAAGCAGTGAAAGAGGTTTTCCATTTTGGCACACCTTCACACAGCTTAAAACGATCTCCCTCAACTGTTTCTCAATATCTTCAATGGGAAGGCAGCCGTCTATCCATTTCACATGCAAATTTGTTGGGACGTGGAAAGAATTTAACCAGTAAACAGATGTATATACAGAAAAAAATATGCACTTTCCACAAGGAAATGGACAATATGAAAGATCTTCCATTGTATGGCTCGAAAATATCATATACAAAGTTAAATGAGTTATGATGAGGTCTTCGGTGACACCTGCAGGATGGCATCAGACCCAGGAAACAAACTACGTAACTTTTGTCTCACGGCATCAGAAAGGATCTGATACGATTGCACAACTTTCTTTTGAAACTCAAGTTGCTCATATCTCTCATCTCCATAACCTCCTCTTTCAGTGGCATTATGATAATCCCAAACATGACTTTTTAGTTAGCCTAACATCTGTTTAATTTGGATCAAAAACGTGCAAAAAATAAGCCAGAAGAATTGCTAAAACTTCATTTAATGAAAACAGGAAACATAAATGCAATCAACTGTTGATTTTCTGGATAGCAATGAGGTAATCAGGAAAGATGGCATGATAAGTCCACAAAAGGATCATCAAATTTAGCAGATTTCTTGAAAAAGACAAAATACAACATGCAACATACAAATTCACAACAAACCACATATAAGCAACAATAATCCTCAACTTCTTTACACAATTGAAATATTGGTATAAAAATGAGTTACCTCTGGTGGTATGTCTAGGAATAATACCAGATCGGGAGCCAGTAGCCCCATCTCTGGAGCCCGCACAAACAGATCGCAGTATTCCACTACCTCCAAGAAATAAACTACAATATTATATATAACATGAAGAATTTCTTCACCTTACACCATTCAATATCAAGTCCTTTGGTCGATGAGAAAGCTACCCCAGAATATGAATAACAGTCAACAATGAGGAAAGTTCCACTCCTCAGCTTCTTTTCCATTAATGATCTACAAACACATTGTTGATGATTAAGTACATTAAGAATATGTTCATTCCATTCATTCATGACAGGACTTTCGGGAGCTATAAAAAGACCATAAAGGAGGTCATTGCTCATTGCCCGTTGCCCAATTCGATCCCCATCAATCAAGGGAGCTAAAAGTTGTGAAGTAGGTAGAAATCCAACAATTAAAATTTTACTAAAGGGAGACCCAAATATTTGAAACCTGTAGCCCAATATTTTACCATTAGATCCACCAATGGGCTGAAGTGACTAAAGATGCTCCACATATTCTCATTTTGCTAGTATTACAGTCTCCAAATCAACAAGTGGCCGGACGGCCTTTATAATGACAAGGCATGATTGCACATAACCAATCAAATATACAACAGTGGAAAATCCACTTTATGGTTAGAACTGTAGATCTATTATTTTGACACTCATCTAAACTTAACACAAAGATGTCATTTACAAAAAAATAAAAGATAAGTAAATCTACTGAAACTTCTACAAAGAGTCGCTTTTGACGTGTTTGCAGATTATATAAACATTGAACAATTCTGAGAGTTTCAGTATTAAACGTAGCAGGACAATCACAATAAATACTTCACATGTGAAGAAACAACAAGTGAACATATCTGTGGGATTAGATCAAGTTTCTATATGCATTCATACTCAGCAGTACAAATCATGATGCATCGGATAACAAAACAAACCTCTTTCCCCTATGATTTGCACTAAAGAGGAGATGGATTTTGCATGATCATCCAACTGCGACTTATTGGAAAGATATGATGAAATCATTTGTCCAACGCCGGTATTTTCTATCCGGAAACCGCCATGATTCAACAGAATGTCCTAGCTCCTCCAAGTATGATAGTAGTCTGCTAGACTGTAAGGTCTTCCCAGAGTGATCCAAACCTTCTAATACGATTAAAGCACCTCTTGAGTCAATGCTGTGATTATTTTCCATGTGAATTTGTCTACAAGAGCCCTTGAGTGGTAATTTTGAATTCAAACGAAATGCCAAAGATCTCCTATAGCCGCTACTGCCCCAAAATTTCTAAAAAATTCAGAAAAATATAAAATTAGAGAACTGAACTTACATTATATGCATATTCAATTCATATTCAGATCACCTGTGACTATAAATTCAACCTTTTTGAAAAAACTCCATTACGGACAAGGATGTCGAATTTAGAGAAGAAAAACAAATGGGGAACAGAAGTATGAGTTTGTCGACTCCCAAACAAAGTAAAAACTAATGTAAGAACTAAGAAACAAGCAAATCAAGTGGAAGGAAACTTACAAAACCCTGGAAAGGGGAAACTGTGGAATAACAGGCACATATGAATCATGATGTCCCTCCAAGCCCTAAAGGTTGAGTGAGATACATGAAAAATATGCACAAAAATTACTTCAGAAAGAAGCTTAAGAACGCATTCGAAACTGGGTTTTCACCAAGATTAAGCATATAGACTACTTGTACCACAGATTAGGATTTTGGTTGATTAGTTAGGAAAATCGAACCTGTCTATGAGACCATGACTATGTTTAAATTCGGAAAGTGAGCAGATTCGATATTCTCCGGACGATGGATCTCCGGTCAGAATCTCGGTCCCAATTCGGCGAGTAAATCGTCATTCAAAATCCTTTTAAAATAAATAGCCATCACTCAAATTTAAATTAAAATTTGAATAAAATATTTAATTTAATATAAAATAAATGTTATATAACTCAAATAAACTCAAAAGTTAAAACTCAAATGTATATTATCTTTTAGATAGCGTAAAATGAATGAGTCTTATTAAAAAATTTGATGGGACTCACTCATCTAAAGGATGATACATATTTGGGTTGTAATTTTTTTAATTTCATTTAAGTTTTGTAACATTACTCTTAACACAAAGAGCTTTAATGGACAATTTCAAATTTAAAGAATAAGAAATTCAAACTTAAATGAGGATAAACTCAAATTTAAAAAAAATAAATATGATCATGAAATCTTTAAGAGAGTAAAATCTCACTATTAAATTATCTCCAACCCTGACTTAAATTTACACTGAAATTTAAATTTGAGTAAATAAATTCAAAAAACTTGTTCTATCCTTTGACTCAAACTTATATCAAATCAAGTGGATTATCTTGGAAGGATTGGATTTGAATCCAAACTCAATCCTACCCAATGTAAAGTGGTCCGGATTAGAGGATTATAAGGATAAGATTCAAATCTTATCCCATCTTTGGATAGGTTTTATTTAGTTTGTGGGCCTCATTCACTGTTGATGGTATAACATACTCAAATAATCATTTCACCCTTGTGTAAAAAAATGTTATTCAATCCTATATTATGTTTGTTATAGAATGAAAAAAAGGTTAAATCTATTAGTATTGTCTTATTTACGAAAAAAAATACGAATCAATACCTTGCGCATTTTTATAAAAGATTGCAATAAATATTTTGTTCATTTATTTAATTTAATTTGTACAATTCACTTTTAATCACAAATTTTTTTTTCAATAAATAACAAAATTAATTCGAACTCAATCCAAAAAAATTTCAATGACCCAAATCCAATTTATTTTTCATGAATTTTAGGGCATTTTAATATTATTGCCTAAATTAATAGTAAAAATCAGGTCAATTTAAAATATGTTACTTTAATTAAAATGTTAATTTTTTTAGAGTTGTATAAAGTGAAAAAAAATCTAAGAGTTATGTGCAAATTTATGAACATAAGGGGTAAAGTGCAAAAAAATAGAATTGAGGGGGTATAAAGTGGATATTAATGTGGTTAATTGCTCATCTTCTCCACATATGCTTCGACTTCAGTCACAAATAGAGAGAAAGAGTGAGAAGAGAAAGAAAAGCTTTCGAAAAAATTTATCTTATTCCCTCTCTGTCTTCCCAAACAAATCAAGATGGGTTACCGTAGAGATCATCTCTATTTTCTTTGCAAACAAATGGTGGTTGCAGACTGAAAAATTTACCCAAATCTGCGCAGTGAAACTATGCATAGATCTGATACTTCCATGGAAAAATCAGATCTCATGTGAAACTTCAAAGATCGATACACGGAGGTAAGTATTTACTGTGGAGGGTATTTTTGATTTTTCATATGCAATCCCACTTCACAATTTTGAATCCCCCATAGTATAAGAGATTGTTTAATGGCTTGTAGAGAGGATTGAACGTTTTAAAACCTTCGGCCCGAGGAATTCAAATCCCAATCCAATCTCATGTCAAAAAATTACCCAAATCAGGAATAAGTGGACTCATTCACAATTTTAATCCAATCCCCCCTATAATCCCCCTCAATCATTTCATCCAAACACCACCTAAATCTTTAAGAGAGTGAAATCTCACTATTAGATTATCTCCAACTCTGACTTAAATTTACACTCAAATTTAAAGTTGGGTAAATAAATTCAAAAATTTGTTCTATCATTTGACTCAAACTTATACCAAATCAAGTGAGACTCAATTTTTTACTTCAATCAAGATAGACTTAAATTGTTACATAAATCTTTAATATTAGGACTCATAGTAAAATTAATTGTTGTAATCATCAAGTCTAATTTTAAATTTTTATAGCTTTGCTCTTTTTTTTTTTATCCTATCTGCAATGTGAGATACAAAATGGCAAAAATTGCCACCAACTGGATAACGAGCTAAAATTATTTCAATGCCCCTCACATTGTACAAGTAGTATAATTCACACATTGTTTATTAGAGGTGCAACTTGGACGGACCAACTCAAATTTAACTCAAGCTAAACTTAAAAAAAATAAGGCTTGAGTTAGACTTTTTAATACTTTGGTTGGACATGAGCAAAAAAATTCTAACACAAATTGAATTTGAGCAAGTCTTGAGTTGTCAAATTCAACCCGAATATACATAAATATATAAATATATTTAACTAACGTTAGTATTTATCTTCACTTATTAGAGTTCAGATTTTTATTTCACTTCAAATCTTCATCCCCTGCACTTCCATCACTCTCAGATCCCTCTCTCACTCGTCACTCTTCCCTTTTTCTCAATGTTAGATTCTCAGTCTCCCTCTCTCACTTATCACTCTACCCTCTCTCTTTATTTGTGTCTCGACCTTCATCTTAAGTCATTTAAAAAAAATTAGATGTACACTTGAAAAAAAATTAAATCTACACTTCAAAAAATCAATTCAAAATACAGTCCGAATTAAGTAACTTAAATTTAATTCGAACTTGCCCGAATTAAACTTGGGCAGTACTTAGGTTGAGTACTTTAGATTAAGGCAGGGTTATGATTAAAAATTATACACTTAAGATTAGCCAGAGTTGACTTCTCAACCCACTCGAATTGTACCCTAATCATTATGTCAGTAAAATACGTAAATTTTTATATCAAAATAATATTACTCTTTGTCTTTTAACTATTCTTTTGTTGATTTTACCATCATAATCTCAGTATACTAGGTGAGTTATATTTTGTACCTTAAAATATTTTAAGATTTTTATTTTATATTTTTAAAAATTAAAATTTTTCAAGATAAAAAAGTAACATAAACTAACAAAGAAAATTGTATTATAAAATTTTTAATATATTGAAAATTTAATCCTTTAATATATTAAATAAAAATTAAAAAAAATTAGTTGTAAAGTACAAAAAGTAGAAAAATAATTCACATCATCATGAGTCAAATCAATGAGACCCACATCTCCCATCCTTCCTATCCAACACTAAATTGGTTAGCTAAAAAGCCTTTTTCTTGGTTTTATAACCCACTTCGTTGGACTAAAAATTCCTATCTTATCTAATCCAAAATTTTGTGCCAGACATACCTACCCTTTATGTGGTTGAGGTACCTAATATCTAACTGTGTTGATGAATAATATCCAATTGCTATTGAATGTATCATATGAGATTTAGATTACTAAATTTGATCTTAAATTTTCATTACGCCAGTATCTTAGTTTGATATATTTACAGTAATTGATCATAAATTTAATAAAAAATGACATTTATTATATTTTTATTAGATAAAAAATAAAAAATGATATTAAACAAAGATATGAAATAGTAAAACAAATATATAA